TGTACACCAGTACACACATGACAACTTACACACAACGCACTTAACACAGAGAGACACACGCACCGACACCGGCACACGCACACGCGACACGCACACGCACACGCGACACGCCACGCACGCAGGTACACGCACACGCACACTACACACACACACACACACACACACACACACACACATCACAACACACACACACACACTTGCACACACGCACGCACATAGTACGCACACACCGGTACACACAGGGCGCGCAGAAAATCCACACCGTACACACACGCGACGCACGCACACGCGCGCGCGCACGATACAACACCACACGCGCGCGCACCAATTACAAACACACACCACCGCACAAATATCGCAATTACGCACAAACTTCTCACTACACGCGTCTCTATCTATAAATCGCGCGAGCAAACCTCACATAGTAAGCGAGCCGCTGGGAATCCACTCTACGTAGGCGCACGTGCTCTCGCAATACAAAAAACCGGCCGAACATAGCAAAAACTTGATTGACGCAATAAAAGCAGAAGTCCATGTTAGAACCGAGACGTGTGTGCTTTTATTGCCTTGGGCTGTGGCATTCCTGGCCATACAAGAGAATGCCATCTTGTCATCATTAACCATGGCCCCCAAATAAAGCTGTAATCGCTACCATAATTGAGACATATGAAGTCATCAGTTTACGAGCTACATAGCGTCAGCTGGTAGAAATGACTGCGCGCCAACCCACGCAACACAGGCAGCGACGCACGCCGCACACGGCACACACCCGCACACACATCATACACGCACGCGACGCCACACACGCACCCCACGAACCTAGTTATATCATACACCCCCTACCGTACACCCTCCACTCACATCAGGACCCTTCATCCGTCTAGTAGTAGTCCACGACTCCCGGTCCACTAGAGAGTACAGGCGCTACGTCTCACCCACACTACCATCCTACGCCACCCAAAAACCTCACGCTACCAAGCGCCTTCCCACATAACCCCAAAATGGAAGATACTGATGGCTGGTTAGTGGTACGGCTAGCATGAGAATCGGGTGCTAGCATACACATTGAGAGCGTCGATGCTAGCGCTATGAGATCTTGGATGTGCCCACGCTCTGTCCGCGGTTCGGCATGTCATCCAATATTTCCTCAGTCTAAGCATAGAATGTCGGCGTGTGGCAGTTGAGCTTAGCAGATAGTAGAGCTCGCTCGCTAGAATGCGGTTGTACCATACGAGCCAGCTGGTTATATATGAATATCATAGACCTATCGCACTGGTTGTACGATGGCAACGGCCACGCTCGTGAGGCTCGGCTCGTGCGTGTGTGTGTGTGGCCGGCGTGCTCGTGATGTCGCGTACACGTCGATGCAGTCAACACACGGCGACACACACACGCACGCACGCACGCACGCACGCACGTCAGTGGTGCACGCACGCACGCAACACACCACACACACACAACACTAGTGTGACACGCACGCATAGTACGGAGCACCGCACGCGACACAACCACATCGCACGCAACGCACACACACGGCACGCACGCCCACGCACGCACACACACAAGACGGCTAACGCGTGTTGATGAAATGCAGGATCTGCGGCTTAGTACCGCGCGGGAAGCGAGTGACGGTATGCGAGTGTGTAGCGACCAGCCATGAATGTGCAGTTCAGAGCTACGATGGGGCGTTATGCTTGAAGACTCAGGCGGCGGTCCAGCTAGTTAGAGCAAACACTCTACGGCACCCACAGACTAGCGCGACACTGTAGCAGTGTGTTTGTATGCCATGCCATGTCGTTCATTGCCGTTCGTCTGCTCGTAGGCTCGCGCGGGCACCGCACCGTAGTCCGACGCAGCCGCGTGAGTATCAGGCGGAGATGCACAAGCAAATGCATAGTATGAAGTAGAGGTATGTAATGGTTGTATGCTACGTATGGGCGAATGGATAGTGTGTGCGTGCGTGCGACTGCGTACGTGCGTGCGTGCGTGCGTGCGCGTGTGTCTCGGTGTCGTATTTGTAATAATTCTCCCTGTTGCGTGCTTCTAGGAGCTGTCGTTCGGAGCCTGTAGCGTGGGAGAGAGTTGTCTAGCCATGAAGGAGAGACAGGGCTTTGCTGAGGATTCATACCCACTAAAAGGTAAGATGCATCGACGCGAACGAAGTGAGATAGAGAACCCTGGGTGCTGATTGTACGCAGAAGTGTACAATACAGAAAGGTCGAAAGCAAGTCTATTTTGCGAGTTTGTGCACACTGGCGTGCGTGCGGTGTGATTGTGTGATCTAGACCAGCATTTAGGAACGATATTTACCGGAAATTATTACTAATAATAGGCGAAAGAGAATAGTAGTAAATACAATTCGTGTTTATTCACTATCATTTATTATTGAAACGGCCCGTCGCCCCCGAGATGTCCACCGATACCTTCCACGCGCACACACAATTACTACCTCCCCCCCCCCAATACAAGGTCAGTGCCATTCAGCAAAGCTCGTCAACATATGTGCGGAATGCTTGCGGTCACTGCAAAAGGTGCCAATGGCTCCTGCGTTAGACATAGATTGGTCCTGGCCGTCGCTGGGACTAGTGCGCGTCTTCTGACGATCGCTGAGCGAAGTGCAGACTACAATTTCAGGAGCGCTTTACTTTGCAACAATCGCTGTTGTGGGTTTAGCTTTTACAGAAAACCAGATTCTGCTGCGCAGCTCGCCCGGTGTCTTGCTGTGATTTGTTCTAATCTTGTCACTTGTGGATATTGCTTGGCGCGCTGATGTATTTTTGTTGAGGGCAGCTAGAGGGCGCCAGTCACGCTTGCATGCTCGCGTCTGCAAACGTGTGTAGGAGAGAGACAGCCGGTAGTGGAATGCGGTAATGCAGGGCACTTGGGGCGTTCCAATAGTAAAATGATTGTAAATGAACACTAATTGTATTTATTAGCAAAGTGTTCATGTTTATGTACTCTCTATCGGCTAATAATTTCTCGTAAATGCCTTTCAAATGCTCTTCTGCAATATGCAGTTTAACCGCACGCACGCCACCGCGCACAAACTCGCAGAAATATAGTGTGTGCTCTGGATTTCTCTGAGTTTGTGCCCCGTGGCGTGCGCACGGCGAAATTGCTTGTTGCAGAGAAGCGTCAAAATTGCATTAACGGGAAACTTATCAATAATAGCCGAAAGAGATAAACATTGAGACTTTGGTTAGTAAATACATTTGGTGTTTATTTACCATCATTTTAGTGTTGAAGCGGTCCAAGTGCCTGTGCTGTGTAGGGGAAAAATTAGCAGTGGAGCGGGGTGATGCTTGTGTTATTAGATCAAGGCTTCCCGGACACGATAGGAACATATATAACATAACAGGGTTATGGTATTACGATATTATCACTACGTTAACAGTAAACCTGGTAATGTGCTGTCACATGGTTGCTGATTGGATAAGAATCGATTACAGAACTCATCTATTGTACATGATGGTAATATGTGCATATTATTATGATGGTAGTCGTGGTGACATGATCATGTTTTGATTCTGCGCTGCAATACATTCTGCATTTTGATCCCTCTCCTTCTCCCCCTCCCCTTCCCTCGCCCCGTCTCTCTTTTTTTCCCCACATCTCTCTCTCTCTCTTTCTCGCTCTCTCTCTTTCTCTCTCTGTCTCTCTTTATATCCCCATCTATCTATCTCTCTCTCTCTCTCTCTCTTCTCCTCTCTCTCTCTCTCGTTCTCCGCTCTCATCTCGCTCTCGTCTCTCTCTACTCGTCAGTCTCTCTCTCTCTCGCTCTATCTCTCATTCTCTCCTCTCTCCCTCATCTCTCTCTCTCTCTCTCTCCTCTCACCTCTCGTCCTCTCTCTCTTCCTCTCTCCTCTCCCTCTTCTCATCTCACACTGCTCTCTCTCTTCAACTTCTCTCCCTCTCTCTCTCTCTCTCTCAACTCCTCAAACCAGCTCTCTCTCTCTCTCTCTCTCTCCTCTCATACTTCGTCTCTGCTCTCTCCTCTCCATCTCTCTCTCTCTCTTCTGCCCTCTCTCTTCTCCTATCCTCTCCTAATCCTCCATCTCTCTCTCTCATCCCTGCCCTCTCT